CATTTCTAAGGCCTGCCAAGTGGCTAGAAATGTTCTCCTGTTCATTCTGCATCTAACCATGTATGTGTCGATGGAATTCAAGCAGGGGCCGATTTCATCAAGTAATCGCCCCCGTCCTTTGTTTGAATCTGTTTGTAGAATGATGTCATCCACTAACAGGTCTAGGTAGACCTAGTTTCTAGAGTTTTCCATTATTTAGACTCACCGGAGGATAGGAGAGCTGACAACGGAGTTAGTACTGAAAAGAGAATGATTTACAATTCCGACTTTAAAAGACTGACAAGAGAACGGTCGTATGTTCGAATACGGAATTATGATCTATATATATTTTGCATTATTTGCAAAACAATATTGTACAAAAAAGTGCAAATATATATAAGATTTTGACGGAACTACAGCTAATGGTATGAAACACAGAAAATAATTTGAAACAGCCTTACCATTGTCATTGTTATTTTCATATGACGTGAGGAATTTCGAGAAAAAGCATGGTACATTCTCTTCAAAAGAAGCAGAATTAAGTACATGGGGTTATGCCACCTAGATAAGCACTTTTTTTCTTTCCTTTGAAGAAAAAAAGTCAGTAATAAAACGTTTTTATTCTCTTCATATAAAATACAGAAAGAAAGTGTGTCTTTAGTGTAAAGAACTGTACGTCATTTTTCCCCTGACTGAAAGCAAGCATTATAAATCCGAAAATGTCGGTCTGTCCGCAAGAGAGAGAAATCTTTATTTTCTCATCCAAGAAGGGACATAAAGCTTCGAGACTTTCGCAGTAGAGGTAATTGACTGTGGGAAATCAGAAAATGGCTATGAGCAACGTCTGGAGTTGAGTATCGCTCGAAATCTTCATTTTAACTTGATGGGATGAAAATGATAAGGAATGGGTAAGCAACTACGGAGAAACGCTTAAGATGGGTTTCACAGTTATTGGAGATCTCCGGAAAACTTTTAAGAATTCTGTGGAGTTCTGAGTTGCACTTTGAAGGAAGAGCTGCGTAGACGAAGTATCCGATGCCTGGTGATATTCAGACAGGAAACTTTCTACACTAAGACAAGTGTAGTGGAGGCCTTCGCTCTTCTGTTATCATGGTTAAGTTCTTTCATAGAACTTTCGTTGTAACATGATGTCATTAAACAATATTGTTCTCGCATTGAATAAGACGATGGAACACACTGTGAACATAACGGCTTGTCCAGCTAGCACCCTCCATTTTCTGCTCGTTTTCGAAAAGTTATCGCAATAAAGCTACAAACTACTCTAAAATGACGCTTTATGTAAGCTTTCACATTTGACTAGACGGTTAGAACGATGCGTCATACTCCTATCGAAACAAAACCGTTCACTAATGCACATTCCTCGAAAATACCACGAATGAGACCGTTTACAATCAAATGTCGTTTTGAATGATCAGTTCGATCCAACCATTTACAGCAAAAAACGGGAAGCCTATGGGATATGATAATGATGATGATGATGATCGTCGTGATAAAGAAAAGTTGTCCAACAATGCTGTTTCATTAGAATTCAAATTAGGAAAAGTACAGAAAAAATCAAAGAGGAGAAATAGTCAAGATTACAATTACAAGAGGAGAAAAAAGAAACCAGCAGATCATGTTCGATGATGATAAAACATAAGATGAATGGTCGATTTTTCGTGTGGATGTGTGTCGGTGCCATATTTTCTGTAACAAAAAGACAGTTATATAATTCAGTACTATAAAATACTCGAAGCCATAATCTCTAAACAGAATGTACTAGTGACGCAATCAGAGTAGGTCATAATTGGGCGCCACCCAACTACCGATAGCAGCTTTGCCAACTGAAGCCTCTTGCTAACCCTACCACTCTACAGCTCTCATTCACTTTAGTCTAATCATCAGATACTTAAACGATGCTTTGCTCTACTACTACATAAATCCTACTGACGCCGCTGAAATGTACAAATGGTAAAATAAAATACTAGTAATATTTTCTCGAGAATTATCATCGAAAATACTACTCTAACACGGCATACCTCGCTTAAGTACAAATGCCGCGACTACAAGAGCCACTACAACATCGACCAGTACAAGCTTGGCCAGTAGGAACACAAGTAGGACGACAAGTACCATCACAGTAGTAACTACTACAGCATTGGACATTACTGGTACAAGCTTGACCAAGACTAAGACAACAGACATTACTGGGATAATCGCAATAGCCACTACAACATGAACCAGAACAAGTTTGACAAAGAAAAGCAATTAAGAGTTTATATACAGTTAGGTCCATCACTTCTGTCATCCATATAGATGTTTTGAAATGATGATGGTCCACTGTATCGTCAATCTTTCGAAAGAAAGAGAAATCAACAGACTGGTCTATCACTCACACAGTCCAATATAATTGTGTAAATGACAGTGGTCTGCTGTATCCTCTTCCTCCTCAATCGAAGGGAGTTCAACACAGTCGTGTCTATCATTCACACAGTCCAACAGGACTATATATCTGTTAGTGATCTGCTGTATCCCTGCTCCCATGAAGGAAAGTTATATACAGTCAAGTCCATCATATCCATATTGTCTTCCATGATAGACATATTCCAACAGGAGCCTGCTGGTGTTGTTCCAGCTTCATCCCTCGAAGAGTTGGGTATATTCAGTCATGTCAGTCAATTAATCAAGACCAGTACAAACTGCTAATCCAAGTATAATGAGTTTGTTAACGTTTGCTAAACCACAATCTGAATCCAAAATATACCAAAATGTTCACCTATGTGTCCTAAATCTATAATGCATGTATAAACTCTCCCTGGCTTATCTAGAGGTTTTTGAGAGAAAATCCTTGTTTTTCGATTGAGGAACGTTTTGATTGAAAAATCTTCAGGGCATATTCAGGATCGGTGTAAAGAACTGCATCGGAAGATGTATAACATAAAAATGTTTCAGAAAAAAGCTTCTGAGAAACAATTTAGATAAGGTTCCCCCTTATAGATTTTTGGTCAAAATAACATTTTTCTAAAACAAATTTCTTGTCTTTTAAAATGATTCTATGCGTGTGATAGACAATGATTTCTGATCACGGAATGCCATCTTTGGTGAAAAAATATCATGTCTGCATTGAATGGTAAGGTTTTCCAGAAGCTAGCCTCTGGAATACCATGAAAAAAGCATTGCACACTGTGTACCCCTTTCAAACTAATTAGATTTGAAAAAAACATATTAATGTGAAAATGAAACAATACAAGAACCAATAAAAAATTTCAAACCATAATTGTTCGTTTTATGTCGCCTGCGTATAAAACAAATACTAGATATAATGAATGAATTACCATCACCATCACCTCCAAACCGTACAAATTTTTGATATCCTGATCGGGATATAAATTCAGACTATATGCCATTCAGAATATAAAAAAATTTTGCTGTAAAAAGAAATATACCGATCAGGATATATATTCCGATTGGGGTATGTCTCCTGCTTTGATTTTTAGACTATTGGGCCGTGTTTCGTAGAGTCAAAAAAAATCGGTGAGCCGAACGTTGTCTACTTGGACAGGAAATTTCTCCAACTGTTGCCAGTTCTGATACCGTCATTTTTGGTGTTACTCGTTATCGTGGCAATTTAAGATTTTTTAACGTCGTTTTTGGATGAAAAAATTGAAAAATATCCCACTGGAAAATTTTTTGATAGAAACGAACGTTCAGGCGCATTTCTCTTGAATATTTCAAAAAAATTTGTTGACGAACCCATTTTTTGAATCAAAATAGCCCTAGGACGCTTCTAAATGAGCCTTTTTATCTTAATAAGAGAAAAGGGTGTTCGGACGCACCTTGTTTTTCGATTGAATGAAGGACGCGAGTAAACGATCCCTGATTTTATGCGGTCAAACGCACTCAGGAAATCTGATTAAAAAGAGAGTGTGCCCAAATGTGCATATAATTTGTTTTCAAAAATAGTTGCATCTAGACGATTCCTTGAGGATGAGAAATGTCTTTAACGCGTCTCGACGTGCTCATTCAATACTGTTCGACAAACGAAAGATAGTTTAGACGCGCCTCATTTTCATTTAGTATTTTAACTGCATTTAGATGGATTTTTCATCTCGATGAGAGGAAAGCGCATTCACGTCTGTGGACGTCAGAAAAAATAATTCAAAAATATATAGCTCTGTCTGAAATATAGTAGAAGGCTGAAATATTTTTCTGTAGTAGACTTACATGTTTAAATAATACACAGAAAGTGTTAACTTTCTAGCTCTTTCCGTTTCTGAATTACACGGTTTTCCATTGCTAGGGAAAATCCTAGTATTTTACTCTCTATATGTTTTATATCTCTTTTAATTAAAACATGTGTACATTTCATAAACATGGTCGCTCTACTCGTTTTTTCTCTTTATCTATTTAACAATGCTTGTTCTACATTGGGAAACAACTGACTATCTATAGTACACGTGTTTGTGTGTGTGCAATTAAAAGTTATAAAGTAGAGAAATAATTAAAAAAGATGGCAAAGTTAGATGACAGATTTTCAGCCTTCTACTACATTCCAGACAGAACTATAGATTTTTTAATCATTTTCCCTAGAGGGTAAGGATGGTCTTTTTTTGTATCGAAAAGTTGAGTTTTAATAGAGAAAACGGCAAAATACGTGCCCAATTTCATTGTTTTTTCGCTGATTTGGAAAAAATTCAATTTCGCGGCAACAAAACAAAATTTTCTAACAAGGATACTTCATCTTTTTTCCACAGGTACCGCGACCAGAATGAAGTAAAAGAAAGAACTTTATCTCCAAAATCGTAAGACTAGATAGATTCGTAAAGCTGGCCGGCAGCCTCTTTACCATCTGCTCGTACTTCGCAGATTCTAAGTCCATTTTGGCTTCTAAAATTTCCAAAATTAGCTTTTCAGACTCAGTTTTTGGTGTAAAATAAGAAAAAAGTGATTTTGAAATTTCGAAACGCGATCAAACATGAAAATTTCACTGTTTTTTTCCTGCAGTTTGAAAGATCAATATTTTTCAGTTTTTTCATCAAAAAACGACGTTAAGAAAAATCTTAACGTTGAAGACGTTGAAAAATAAAAAAAGGAAAAATTGGCTTTTTCCTATATAAGTCGGTGAGCTCTATCCAACGACGCCAAAGAGAAGGAAACAAAAATCATGCTATGTTTTTTGAATTGGCAGCACATTATTTCGCTTTCATGTCACAAACTTTATTCAGGATTGGTGGGTGAAGAAACAGCTTTGGTCCGAACACTCAAAAACAATTTGGTATTGGGCCATAGCCCACTGTTTGCGTAGTAAAAGAAAACTGAAAAATAAAAAATAAAATAAACGCAAAAGAGAAAGTCTATGACGAAAAAAAAAATGAATATATTCACGAAAGAAAAAGGAACTGAGAGATAATAAGTACTAACTAACCTTTTAAAGAAAACTAACTGTCATTTGACTAAATGAAAATACTTCCTCTACCTTCTAGAGTCGAGTGGAGGATCCTAACATCCGTTCTCTTTTCGACGTTTTCATTTTATAATTCTGACCGTTCTCTAATCACTCCAGATTTGATCATAAATAGGCAACCGTTCTCTTTTTAACCCTAATTTTGTTCTCTAAAACGTCCTTGTCCGGCACTTTTTTTCAAATCTTTTTCAAGCAAAATTTCGGTAGAAACAGATGATCAAATCTTATCATAAAAATATTTTTGTGTATTCTGAAACTACGGAACATGAACTTCTAGTTCCACAGACTTTCAACATATTTTAGACTTTCAGCTTTATTCTATTTTTCTTTCTCCGTCTGATCCCGTTATCGTGTACTAGCAAATAATCATAACATCACTAGTCACACCTTTCATCATTATTTTATATATTTTTATTTTTATCCTTTTCATTTTTTATTCGTACACATTTCTTTGACTTACGATCTTAATATTTTCATCCGACGGTCGAGAGAATTAAACAATACTTTTAGAAGAGGACATGCTTCTCGTCTTCATTTTTTCAACTGTCAGTGGAGAAACTTTTTCTGTTCTCTTCATTTTCCTCTCTCTTGTAACAATTATAAAAACATGTGTTTTCTTGTAGCTCTCATTTCATACTGAAAAAGTAAACTGGTCGAGTGATATTTCATCATTATCATCTTTGTTCAGCTTTTCATTTTTTTAAGCAGTTTTAAGGGTACGTTAACTAACGACAGAATCTTATCAGATACAATGACGCACTAAACCGACAGTTTATTTGTACTTCTTTTTCTGCTTTTAGCTCTCCAAATAGAAAATATTATTCCAGATGTATACATTTGACGTAGCTATATTTCTTTTCACATAGTAAAGAAACAAAAAAAAAGGGAGAAAAGGAAAAATGATATCGTTCTGCTTTTTTATCGTGAAGGATGAAGAATGAGGATGCTAAAACACACGTGTACATGTGCAGATATAAGCGAAACGTCAATATTCTAGTTTAATAGATAGATGTTCATTCTCTTTGAATGTTTTTTATTATTTTATTTTAATAGATATATTTTACTAAGGATTAGTGCAATAGTCAACATTGATTGAATAAACAATACTAGACAAGACAGCGATTATTTTCAGGTAAATATGATTGTGACATTGTATGATAGAGAGGAAAACTCAAAAAAAATTTTTTGAAAAGTTTATACTACTGATAAATATTCTTTTTAGTGATTTTTGATTAGAATAATCGCAAGTATCAAATTTACTATCAATTTAGCATGTCATCAACCAAGTGCAATCTTTCAGTCATTGGTCTCCCGTTTTCAACTTTTACACGTACAATTACGCTCGCCCTGCACTACCATCAAATTCGCTTTATACAACAGTCTTGTCGTCCACATTCAGATCTTGCAAATGCACATCATCCATTAGGATTCGTGCCTACACTAATCGATCATAATCCTTCAAACGATAATGGTAAAGATTTTGAAGTTTGGGAAAGTCAAGCAATTGCCAGGTATCTTGATTCTTCATATCTAAAATGGCCTGGTCATGACGTTTCGAATAAATTTACCAATGCCAAAGTTGATATGATGATCAATTTGGCTTCCAATCATGTCTTTCCAGCAGTAGAACATGGTGTCGTTAAAGTTCGATTAGCTCTCGAAGAACAAGGAAAGACCGACAAGGATATTGTAGACGCTGTAGCTGAAGGAATTTCAAAGTTAAAGAAGATCTTTTCTGTTGTTGAAACCTTCTTGTGTCAACAAGATGGACGTTGGGTAATAGGGCAAAGCTTGACATGGGCGGATTTCTTTCTTTATCCACCATTAGCTGATCTAAAGGCTGTTTCTGAAGGAATAGTGCTAAATGATTTTCCAAGGTTAAAAACATGGATGGACGAAATGGAAGGACTAGATGCATGCAAGAAGACGTACGAAGGAACATTAGCAAATGAGAGGTGGCAGTAATTTTTCTTACGATCCAACACCATGTTAGACTGTGACAAATTGAATGATGAATGGTAATTATATTATGGACATTGATTATTGAATGATAACAACAAAAGTAGGAACTTGTTACCACTACTTCGAAGATCAGCATGAAGATTAAAACCAACATGATATAAGCACGACATTGATGGTCGCACTAGTAATTTCAAGACTTCTGCTTGAAATATTAAAACTAAACGTCGATTAATGTGTAGTGTTAATTGAGTGAATCTTCTGAGCTGATTAAATCCCTGTCACCTTATACCGCTTCTATCTGTTAGTTCTTTTATTTCTAGAATTTTTTCAATTATTTTGTATTTTGTAGATCGAAAAATCAGGCTCTATTTCGTTTTCATGTTGTGCAATTGAAATACGTCCAGTCTAGTATTAGACGCTGAAGAAAAAATAAATTTCACTGTAACAATAAACTCGATTAATAATTCTTAGTAAATGCTAGAGTCACAAATACCACAATATAGCAGCTGTCAGACCGAAACGAATCAACCAAACTTGATCCGAACCCGACCCGGCCCAAATCAATATCTTATACGTTGGTCCGAACCCGACCCGAACGGATCCAAAAATTTTGCAATTGTGACTAGACCCGAAACATGAAAATGTTTTCGTACACATTCGCAAAGAAATACTTCTTTCCTATAGAAAAGTTATCTTAGTCAGATTGTTTTGAAATGTTTTCAAAAAAATGATCAGTTTCTTTACGGTTTTCGTCATTTTTTCCTTTTATGAGTGGAAAAGTTTGGATAATTTAGGTAGTTTATTTAATATTGAACTGAGTTAGATCGAAACGGGTCAACCAACCCGAATCAATATCTTTTACGTTGGCCCGAACCCGATTGTTTTTTGATAAAAATAAGAACTTTTTTTGATTTTCAAGCCCTACTTCGTACATATTCTTGGTCAGATCGCCAAGCTCCGTCAAATGGTATATTTGAAAAAAAATTCCATTCACATTTCCTATCGAAAATAAATTTTTAACGGCAATCAAACGTGAAAAGGGAACAAAAGGCATTTCGAAGCTCCGAAAAATACATAAAATTGAGTTTTCTATCGACGTGTATTGAAAGAAAAATCTTTTGAAGAGGATCTGATTCCAGAACATTCTTAACCTCATACTTGATTCTATGCATAACTTTTAGTTTTGTTCTTTCTTTGTGATAACCCATGCATTCAATATAGCCTTTTATGAGATAAAATATTTACCTGTCGTATCATCCTTGAGAAAAAAAATCGTGAAATCATTATGATTCCTTTTTGTTGTCATATAATATCTCACTGAGATAACACCATGTTACCGTTTGCTTGAAAAGTATTCAAAAATCACGTGTTTGATAGATTTTATTAACACAAAAAAACCTCTCGTTTATTCTGTTCACAAAACGTTGTGTCCATGAGAAAAAGATATAGAATTTCAAGTGACGGGAACGTAAGACGGTTTTATAAATATCGCGTAATTATTTTTCGGCACATGCCGACGAGATCGGTGTGTAAAGCTGTGCGATGTGTGAATTGTTTATCCTTTTCTTTTGTACTCACTCACGTGTTAAACACGTAATCAGTATGACTAAAATAAGCAAACAATTTCTTTGACACATGCTACAATCTTAGAAGGAAGGGTACACGGCTTGTCCACGTAACTCCTATGGCAGAGATGTCACAGCGTTACTTTTTTTGCTCATTTCGAAAAATTCGGAGACGTTTTAAATTATAGAAATAACTGTTATCTATATTTTGAGACCTAGTTAGACTCTAGAAAATCTATCTTAAAAAAACTATGGTCAAAATACTGAGATTTACACCTTTGGTATCAATTCTTAAAAAGTACGCCTCAGCATTTGGATTAACGGGTGGCTCATAATAAACGGGACACTTTTGTTCTTTATGTTTAAGCCACTTCCGAATGATCTAAAAATCTGGTTCTAGTCTCATTCGATAGAGAATTGAATTCTCTACAGAACCTGCTTTTTGAATCTCTGATAGCAATTTTCTCGTTTGAGTACCACTCAAAATATTGATTAGTGCTAAATTCTCGAACTGCGACACACTGAAAACAGAAAAATATTTGCCTTGATCCCAGAACAGATTCCATAAGAATTTTGAAAACATCAGAAGATTCACCGGAAAATTCTGCAACTTCTCACATATTCTTCGAAATTCTGCAGTTAAGTCTTCTACGAAAATTTCTCTTTGCAAAAAGGTGAGAAATCTAAAAAAATCTAACTTTTGAATTTATTTTTCACAGATTTTTATTTTTTGCTTATAAAAGCAGTAGAACGTTATGAATCCAGGGTTTTAGCCTTGTTATCTTACACAGAATTAATTCCTGCATCTTTTGATATATAAACAAAGTTTCGCAATTGAAACCATTAATTACAAAATTAATTTAATTTGAAAAAGTTTGAAAAATCGGTTGAGAACTAGTTAGGAGTCTAGGTGACGTAGGTGAAACATTGTATGAAGTTATAAATGAGTGAGATCGATAGAGCACAAAATTCTTTATCTTTCTACCTAGAAAAAGTAACTATTGAGCCTCAGACAACGGGATAAAAATCTCAAAAAACCATATGACAAAAGCACGTCGCAGTTCGAGAATTTAGCACTATTCAATATTTTGAGTGGTGCTCAAACGAGAAAATTGCTATCAGAGATTCAAAAAGCAGGTTCTGTAGAGAATTCAATTCTCTATCGAATGAGGCTAGAACCAGATTTTTAGATCATTCGGGAAGTACTTTAAAAATAAAGAACAAAAGTGTCCCGTTTATTATGCGCCACCCGTTACAGTTTTATGAGGATAATTTATCTACAGTCTGAACAGATCCCGAAATGTGGAAAACAGTATTTTCTATAATTTAAAATGTCTCGGAACTCTCTACGACTTTTAGCTTTGGAGTTATAGTTAAAACAAAATGAGTAAAAAAAGTAATGCTGTGACATCTCTGCTAGAAGTTACGTGGACAATTCGTCCAGTAGAATACAAAGCTGATTAAACAATCAAACTGACTTTATTTTGGAATAGTTATTTATATTAGCTTGGCGAATATGGTGACCATAGCTTTTCTTTTGAGAATAGTCTGATGGAGAAGTACACAGTTTTGCCAGAAAGATTATTCTGTGAGTAGCTGAATGAAGTGTTGCATATGATCAGTAACCTTCTAACGGAAAAGATGGATGATACCTCGCTCGTTCAATTTCATGTATGAGACATGATGCAACAATAGGCTCCTGTAGTGAAATTAAACTGATCGGTTGAATGTAGAGACTTTTTTCATTCACACTGCATTAGAAAAGCCAAAAGTTGGATGATTATGTGGTTGGGAAGGCAGATTATCAGATAAAGTCTGAGTCGAGTTCTTTTCCGGAGAATAATGAATTTGATCGTTTAAAATAAACGTATTACTTTTATTATTGTTTATTACTTTAAATCACTGACTTAAAATTGATAAAAAGTATAATTATTATAAAAACGCACGAATGAAATTCTGATGGATGTTATTGATCTAATGTTTGTTTAGTGGTGTAGTTGAGTAAGAATAACCTGGTGGAGGTAATTCTTGAACAGGATAAACACCATATGGATTCTGATATGTGGCTCCTGGTGCGATAATATATCCTTGACAAGCTGCCAGGCGCCGTTGTCGATTGGCGCTAGTAATTGCAACAGCAAGAATCACGATAAAAATGATGCCACCAACCACACATGGCAAAGCGACGAGGAGACCCCAGTTAAAGGTGTACGAATTCTTGAGCTGACATGTTTTTGTTCGGTAATCGCAATTACCTGACAGACATGCGTAGTCGTAGTTGCATGGAGTGCCGTAATTTAATTGTATTTGGCACGTCCAACCGGAGTCAGGATCACAAAAGCTCACTGAACCACATTCTCTTGGATGTATGTAGTAACCAGAACATTTCCTTCCCCAGTCTATTGCTGGTTGGCATGTTCTATTTTGACAGTAGTACTGACAGGAGCTGTCATCATAGCAGTAACAACCACTCGGACAAAGTGCGAACGAGCTTGCGGATAGCGCAATACAAAACAGGCCTAACCATATAAACGTTTTCATTGTTCTTTGGAGAATTATTTTTCGTTTAATCTAATCTATTAAAATAATATAAAGAATAAGAAATCAGAAAATCATTAATAATATTATGTTGAAGTTGCTAACAGAAAAACTGAGAAACATACCTGTAATGTAATAGTGTTGTTACTTTATGCGATGTGAAGTAACTCTTCTTATTTTTTTTCTTAACTTCTTGAAATATAGATAAGAAATTGAGTCATAAAAACATAATATGCAAAAGTCATTCTTACATCACAAATAGATAATTGAGTCATCAACAATTAGATAAATAACTGATAAATTGAATTGAGAACAGAGATGAGCAACTCAGCTCAACCTTCACTTGAAAAAAAGTTCGGCTCTAACTCCGTTTTAAATCCGATAAACACTTTTTCTATACTTTTCAATTGTCATAGATTATTTAATGGTATTTAAATTTTTGGCCTAGGATCTGATATCGGCTCTAAAATAGACAATCATTTAGAAGTAAGGTAGGTCATAAATGTAGGACATGAAGCATTCAATTAGTGTAATAACTTTTCTTCTATTTTAAAATAGTCTTAGTTATAATAATGATTATCGCTCAACAAAATTAATGTTCCACCTGTGCCGTGTCGCTTAGGGTCCTATGGGGCAGCTCTGAATCCCGTTCCGTCCCGCGGGGCACACGGGCTTGAAACAAAACTAACTTTATGGGTTTGCGCTCATGGGATCGAGCGTACGGGGTTGATAGAGATCGTAGAAAAATGTTATCCCATAAATTTTATCTTTTGCTTGTATTTAACTTTGCTATAACTTCAAATACGTAATTCCTGCAACCCATCAGATCAGAACCGTAATTTTATGGTAAATATTAAAAATTAACCTGAAGAGAGACAAAACTAACAAATATTCACTTTG